TCCACTCGTCCTCCTGCTGCTGGGTTATGGAGACAAGAGACCTCACTCTGCTCTTGGGTCGCTTCTCAGGACTCCAAAAGGTAATTCTTGCCTCCCGTACACTGTTGGCAGAAGGGTTGGTTATTGTTTTCCCCAAGGTTCCGCTTCAGAGCGGGGAAAAGGAGAAAATAACAGCCTCTCTGGCTGGTGCTGCCCTGAAGTTTGCTGTTTTCCTGCCTCTCCCCAGCAGCCCCCCCCTCCTCCCCGCGCCCTGCCCGGCTGCCGGGACTGGAGCTTCCCCGCTTCACCCCATTAGATGTGATTAACTGTTATTGTTCCTCCCGAACACTCCACGTCCCGCCCGGGGCGGGGGGGGGGAGCGGGAGGCAGCCCGGGGGGATGTTGTGTAGGGGGGGGGGTCAGGAGCAGGACCCGCGGCCCCTCTGCTGCTGGGAGTGGGGAGGAAGGACGGAACAAAAGAAACTTCCATCGCGCCCCTCCTGCAGCTCGGGTTGGGGGGGACGGGGACACCCCCCCGACGCTTCCCCATAGGCCGCGGGAACTGCGGGAGGCAACAACCGGGCAGCGGCGGCTGCGCGGGCGCGCAGTACCGCGGTGCGCTGGGGCGAGGCGGGGAGGCAGCGCTGCTATACCTTCTATATATATTGATATACACACACAGATATTTACACATGCAGTATATATATACGCCACCCCCGAAAAAGCCTTTCCCACCCCAACTGCGCATTTTCCGCGGGGCCGCGCAGGTGTAACGCGGCCGCACTGCGCGGCCGGGCCCGGGTGCAGCCCCCGCTGCGCGCACCCAGCGCACAAACCACGCAGCGGAGCTGGTCAGTATAATTATTTTTTTTTTTTTTTTTTTGTAAAAATGTTTATTTAAACCTTTTTTCATTTTTTTTTCCTTTTACAACAATAAAATATTGCGTCAATATAAACCCCTTGACTAAAACCTCTCGACAATCAAACGTTACAAGCGACTCGTGTGTTTCGTTATTATTTTTTCCGACACCCATTCAGGCTTTTTGCTTTCTGAAACGTCTTTTTTTTTTTTCTTTTCTTTTTTTTTTCTTTTCTTTTTTTTTTTCTTTTTTAACATAATGCGGAATTTATTGAAAATAAATAATTGTTGGCAACTGCAATAGGCAATTTTGGATAAAATAGTTGAAAAAAGCAACCTTTAATGAAAATAGCGTTTATTATACATCAGTTACTAAATGAATAAACTAAATGATCTTTCTTTAAATTAATAACTTCCAAAAAACGTTTAATATACAAAACTGTACAGTTATAAAGTTGGCAGAAATAGGCAGGTCCTCAGTGTCGAGTTTGTTTTTTTTCTCTTTGTTTTTAATTTTTTCTTTTTAATTTTTATCTTTTTTTTTTTCTTTTTTTCTTTTTTAGCGCTTACTGAAAAATACTTGAAAAATATAAATGTTGAAAGGAAAAAATCTGAGCGCCGGGGAAGGATTGGGGCTGTGCGGGCAGCCGCGGAGAGGGAGGCGGATGCAGAGCGGGGCCGCACCGGGCCCCTGGGGGTCTTGCGGGGACCCGGGGGGTGCCCGGCCCGGTCCATACCCGGCGGCCCCGAGCCAGCCCGGCCGTGGGGAGGCTGCGGGAGCAGTGGGTTATCGTGGCCGTGCGCTCCCGCACACTCACCCGCTCAGCAATACCCCTTTGCGAGTGGGTTTGTGGGCGCTGCGCGTCCGGCCCTGTGTGCAACACAACTGGGGGGGGGGGGGGGGGGGGGGCAGCTCCAGGTCAGCACCTCCCCGTGCCCAAAAACTGCGGTGGTTGTAGCATTTTAGTGACTTTGTTTTGTTTTTTTCCTCCCTGTTCGTGGTTGCGGTGTTTTGTTTTTGTTTTTCTTAATAAAAGCTTTTCAACAAATCCAGCATCTCCCTGTGACGCGGAAATAAGCTCAGCGTGAACCAAATGCGGGTGTTTGCTGTCCCTCTCCCCTCCAAAAAGAAATCATGAGCCACCCCCCACCCCTCCCATTCCTCTTCACTATCGAAACAAAATACAGAGAAACCGATTTCCGAAGCCAAAGCGCAGGAGTATAAAGGTGTTTTACTACAGACCTCTCAGTCTGGCGCTGATTAAAAAGCCCAACTCATCTTCGGAAAGAAAGCGACTGGCAAATGCCACGGGTTTGTTTGCGGTGCTTAATTTCGGATAAATCTCTTTTAAATAATTACTTTTATTATTTTTCTTTTCCTCGGGAGAAGAGGGGAGAGGTCAGGATCGGAACCCGGCCGGTTTACGGTGTTGGGAAGCTCTTGGAAAAGGAAGAGAAAAGCTGCAACAAATAAGCCCGTTTTTCAGAACAGCGCGGGCAGCAGTGGGGTGCGCGGGTCTCCGCGGGCGCGGAGGGGAACCCCGTTCCTCGGGGGGGGGGGGGTGGTGGTGGTGGTGGTGAGGGGGAAGGGCCGCAGCCGCCCTGCCCCGTCCCCACTGGGTGACATTGCCGGTGCGTGGGGAAGGGAGAAACGTTTTGCCTGCTCAATTCGATACAAATTAGGTCACAAATATTGTGTACAGTTTGTAGTAAAACACCTCAGACATTTAAAAACGCTATATAAGTCTTTAAAAATGCAAAACTAGTCTATTGTAAAACAGATTCACCTGAAATACAGCTGATATAACCAAGGCGCTGGAAGGTTATTCATAGGCACACATCTGTCTTTCCTTTTCTGTCGGTTTTCTTTTTTTTTTTTCCTTTTTCCCATGAGTTTTTTTTCTTTTTTCTTTTTTTTTTTTTTCCCCGTTTTATGTGTGTTTTGTTTTTGTTTCTTTCCCCGTTCGTCTTAGTCGTGACCGAAACCAAACCTTGTCTGCGAGTAAACACCGTGCACTGATCAGCGGAAAGGTCGGAGAGAGAAAAAATATTGCCCAGGCGGCGGGCGGGGAGCCCCCGCTCCGCGTCTCCTGCCTCTCGGAAACCATAAGTTAAAGCCCCGGCGGAAAATCCGCGCTGCCCGCAGTCCTGCCTGCCCGGACAGCCCCGGTCAGAGGTCGTGGCAGGCCGTGTCCGTTTTCACGCCGTGGGAATAGACGTCGTGCTGCGGCTGCTCGCCCGGCGGGGTCATCCGCTTCTCCTTCTGCCGCCGGTTGCAGAACCAGACCCGCACCACCTCTTTCTCCAGCTGCAGGCTGTCTGCCAGCGAGGAGATCTCCTGGGCGGCCGGCTTGGGGCACTTGAGAAAGTGCGTCTCCAGCACGCCCTTGACACTCACCTCGATGGAGGTGCGCTTCTTCCTCTTCCTCCCCTGCGCCGCGATCTTGTCGATGCTGGTGGGGCTGCCGGTGGAGGAGTCGGCCTCCTCCAGCCACTTGTTCAGCAGCGGCTTCAGCTTGCACATGTTCTTGAAGCTGAGCTGCAGGGCCTCGAAGCGGCAGATGGTGGTCTGCGAGAAGACGTTCCCGTAGAGGGTCCCCAGGGCCAGCCCCACGTCGGCCTGGGTGAAGCCCAGCTTGATGCGCCGCTGCTTGAACTGTTTGGCGAACTGCTCCAGCTCATCCGAGGTCGGCGTCTCCTCGTCCGAGTGGTCCTGGCAGTGGTGCCCGCCCAGCTCTCCGTGATCCCCGCCGCCCTCGCCCCGCAGCCCCGGGTGCAAGCCCTGCGCGGCGGCGGGCGGCGGGGTCAGCCCGCCGTGCTCCAGCATGCCTCCCACCGCGAAGCCCGCCTGCGAGTACACGTTGAGGGGCTGCCCGGCGGCGGCGGCGGCAGCGGCTGCGGGGGGGGCCAGCGAGGCGCTGTGGGCCGGGCTGGCGCCCCAGGCGCTGGGGTGGTTGGCGTGGGGCGAGTGGTGGGAGACGTGGGGCGAGCGGTGGTGGATGATGGCGCCCAGCTGCAGGTCCTCGCGGCCCGGCTTCACGTCGGGCTGCTCCAGCGGGCCGCCGGCCAGCGCCGAGGGCCAGGGCCCGCTGTCGCTGAGGCTGGTCACCCAGTGATGCCCCAGCGGGTGCCCATTGCCCGGGACGCCCTGCAGGTACTCGCTCTGCAGCAGCTTCTGCGGGTTGCGGAAGGGGCTCCCCTGCTGCATGCCCGCGCCGTCCGCATGGGCGAGCGAGCCGGAGCCGAGCAGGCTGTAGGGGTTGGAGGCGGCTGTGGCCATGGCCGCCGCGCAGCCCCCACGAGTTATACTGTGGCGGCGCCGCCGCTTCAGCCTTTGACATCCACCGGCACGGCGGCCCGGGCAGCGGCCGACCGCCGACTGGCAGCAGCGCCGCCCAATGGGGCCGCGCCGCCGGCGGGGCCTCGCCGCACGGGCCAATGGGAGAGGCGGGGAGGCCGGCCGCGGCGGCGAAGGGGCGGGGCGAGGGCGCCCGGGGGCCGCGCGGGCCCGAGGCAGGAAGTGAATCACTCCGCCGGCACCGGGGGCCGGGCGCGAGGCGGCCCCCTCCGCTTAACTCCTTCCGCGCCGCGCTCCGCTCCGCGCCGGGCGGGGAAGGGAGGGGAGGACGCGGGGCACGGCTTAAATGGGGAGCGATTAGCGCAGGGGGAGCGCGCGGCAGAGGTTAAACGGCGGCGCCCCGGCGGCAGCCCCGCGGGACCACCCCTGCGCAGCCGGTGCCGGCCTCAGCCGCGCCTCCGGGACTCTCGCTGCTTCCCCGCCCCCGCCCTGCCTGGCCCATCGGTCCGGGCGGGCTGCGCAGTTCGGTGCTCGGTGCCCGCGTCCACCTCCCCGCTGCGCGCATCCCCCGCCTGCCCCGGGCTGTGCGCTCCGAGGTGCTGTCGGAGAGGCAAAAACTAGGTGGAACCCCCCCACACACACTAAAGATAATAAAAACAGCCCCAAAAGGCTCTTTCCGGTAAACCCCGGTGGTGCCTCTCCTCAAAGTTCGCAGTACGGAACGCACGGGCGCGGTGCGCTGCCGCTGCGCGCCTGGAGTGCGGTCCGCGGGGAAGGGGGGGTGTGTGGAAATTACATTAAAAATCCCCCAAAACAAACAGAGAGAAAGTGGAAAATAAAGGGGGGGGGGGGGGAAGCGCGTGCGGTCCCCAGGCCCCACCAGGGGGGATGAGGGGTGGGTAGGTGGGGGGAGCTCTGTGCCCCCCGGCTCGCCCGGGCCCGGCGGGCAGAACCCCAGCGCCGTTCCGCACTCGCGGAATCCCGCCGGGGCGGCAGCGGGACCCTCCGCGGCGGCGGGGCGAGGCAGAGCCCTGGCACCCCCGGCCCGCTCCCGAGCTAAAAAATGACCTTTCCCTGCATAATTTTGGAGGTAACCTAGCTGCGTAATTATATTTGCACTTACAGAAGACTGCATCAGAGTTCCCTTATTGGTTTGAAATTCCATTAAATATATTGCAAGAGCTCCTAGGTTAAGCTTGATTTAAATTTGCATACATTTTCATATATTTAGCAGAAATAAAAGAAGGCTTGCAGCTACCAGAAAGTCATTAAGGCATTAGTTTCTCTGAGAAGACAGATCTGAAGAAAATTCAAGAAAATGAGAAAATAGATATAAATAAGGTGAGCGCTTCTCTGATTCCTTTATAGCCGGGTAGCGTCGCTTTCCTCATTATAATAATAATAATCGCAATAATTTCTCGCCGGGGCTCGGGCAGGACGCAGCGTGCGAGAGGGGGCAAAGACAGGGATGGCCCTCAAAGAGCAGGGGGTGCGTGGCTGGAGGCAGATCGCGATATATCGGGGAGGCGGCGGGGCCGCCGCTGCGCTGCGCACCCGCGGCAGCTCCGCGCCTGCCGCAGCCCCGGGGGCAACTTGGAAAATAAATGAAAGAGTAAAGTTTGCCGGGAGAGGGGAAGCGAAGAGGAGCGGGAGGAGGGGGGATTGGGGGCGGGAGGTGGAAAATGTCCCCGGGAGAGCTCCGCGGCGAGGGCTGGGAGCGGAGCGGCGTAGCCAGCACCGCGCCCGCGGAAGGCGGGAGGGCACAGAAAGAGTTATATCAGCAGCCCTCTTTCTTTTTTTTCTTCCCCTTTCTTTCCATTCTCCCCCCCACACACACCCCCCCCGCCCTCCGCCTTTACAAGCTTCTCGAAATAAATATCACCGGAGCGGGTGGGAGAGAAAAAATAACATAAAAATCAAAAATGCGCACCGTATAAAAATGTAACTAAATTATTTAAAATTAATTTGCACTTTAACTTCCGAAAGCATTTTTCAAATCCCATTGCCCGTGAAAATAGATGTTCGGATCCGCCGTTTAATTAAGACGGAGTCTCTTAGCAGGGAAATAAAACCCCGAACGTCCCATTTTAATATTAGTTGCGAATGTGTCTAAGGCAGAGCCTGGCTCCGCGGCACTCCGCTCCTGAGAGCGGAGCCTCTCATCCCGCCTGTATGGTGTATTTTATAGTGTTTTTATCTGCATATAGTTAAATCTTCTTGCTGTTCTAAGTAATCTGCTGGAGAGGGTTTCTTTAGCTCTTTCCTGTCAGTCTAACTTCCCAAGTGTAACAGATGCCGCTCTCAAGCGGTCCTTTCTGCTGCTTTTCTTTATTCAGCCTCGCATATTTCTCCCCATGATCTGGGTTTCCATAGAGAGAGGAATAAAAGGGGGACCATGGCCACAAATCCCCTGCCCCATGCAGAATAAAAGAGCCTTATTCAATAGACGACCCCGTCTGGACATGGGAGAAAAATAAGTACATGCAAAGCTACTGTTGCAAGAATTTGTAACTTATTTTTCATAGACTGAAATCCATTAAAGTTTGGGTTTTTTTAAGGAAAAAAAAAAAAGAAAAAGAAAAAGTTTCTGGTTTGGACCGGGCGCTCCATCCCTCTGCCCCCGGGAACCTCCGCACCGGCGGGACCCGCATTTCCGCGACAAATAACTCCCTTTAATATCTATTTTTTTTTTCTGCTAAATCTTTGGCATGGAAAAGATCGCACAATGGCTGAAGGCAGCCTACCGTCTTGGGGCAGCTAGAAGTCGCTATAGAGAAAAACCCCCGCTTTGAAGTGGAGGAGCCGTGATTGTGCCGGGTCCCCCTTACCCGGAGGAGGCACAGGCGGGACCAGGGGTCCGGGGCTCCCCCGCGTCCTTTCCCCTTCGTGGGCAGCGGCCCCCAAGCGTGGAGCCGGAGGGTGGGTGCACCTCGGGGGCTTTTCCCGGAGGCAGACCCACAGATGCCCCTTTAAGAGCCATAACTGAAACGCGGGGTGCGTGTGTTGCGGGTGTATGTGTGTATGTGTTTGTGTCCCTAAGCGGCTCTATAGGCTCTTCTCCATAGGTGGGGACCTAGGAGAGAGCGAGCCCAGAGCAAGAGGAACGGGTTTATTATCGTGGCAGAGCTGATTTTATTGTATTTTTTTTTTCCCCTCATTGTTCATCTGCGGGAGGGGAAAGGAAAAAAAAAAAGAGGGAGTCTAAAAGAGGTTCGTTTTGATTGTGTTTAATACAGCATGAAGCTCGGAGCGGTAAGCTGTGGCTCGGTGTCATGACCTCTATATTGAAAACTTCACCTTCAACACAAGTTCACTTTAGAGACAGGACGAGTTAGATTGCGCTTGGTGGGAACAAGTGCAAATTTAAACCCAGAGTCAATCAGAACTGGGGTGGGGGCTGGGAAAGGGCAATTTAAGCGGTTCTGAAGGCAGGAGTTAAGGGTTGCATTGTGTGCATCGAGGCGCTGAAGCCCAGCACCCATCACCTCGGCGAGCAGGGCTGGGAGAGCAGCTCCTGGGTCTCCGGAGATGCTCTGTGAAAACCCAGCCTGCATGGGGGACGGTTAGGAAAAGAGGAATTTGCAGGGTATTAACAGAAATTAGCCAATGCCGACACAAGCTCAATTAGTCCTTTTTTCTTTTTTGGTCTCTGTTGGCTGCTCTTGAACGTGAGTAAACGCTGTGCAGGGAGAGAGGAAGGGAGCCACGGCCAGGAGATGGACTGACAGATTGCAAATTCAAATAGTCCTAATGTAAGAATGAATGCAGCCCCCCCCCCCCCCTCCCCTCTCCTACCCCCCAATCTCTCTGAGCACCACCAGCCCGTTAGTAATAAGCCCGGCACGGAGGGAGCGTGGCTGCGGCGGGGCTGGTCCTGCGCCCGGAGAAAGGCTAGGGAGGGACAATAAAGCCAGTGCCGGGCAGAGAAATCACAAGGTAAATGGCATTTGTATTCTAACTGCTGCGGTTTCTAAAGCGTCTGGGGAGGCTCCTCGCTCCCCTGCTCGAATCGCCTATTATTATGATTACCATTATTATTATTATTATTATTATTTTCCACACTGTTAATGTTTGAAAAATGTACTTGCTTGAGGAAAAAAAAAAAAAAAAAGAGAAAAAAGAAAGAAAAATGTCGTTCATTTGTGCTCTACCACGTCCTGTTCAGGTCACTGTTATTTTTTAGCTGTGTTGGTTTGCATCAGGTCTTGTCTTGAACATTTGGTTGATTTGCAGTCGAGAGGGGAAAAACCCCGTAGTGTTATATATATATATTCCTGGAAGTGTCTCCAAAGTGCGTATTTTTACCGTGGGACCGGTCTTGCCGTTTATTAAATCCACGTATGGAAGCGTCGGGGTTTGTTGGGATTAATGGAGAAATGTGGCTGGCGAGCGGGGCTCCGGCACAGGGTCCCTTCCCTGGGCGGTTTTTGGCAGCTTTTAAGGTCACGTCAGGAGTTAATAGCACCGCACAACACCGCGGAGCGCTACTTCCCTTTTACGTAGGCACTTTCCTCCCCGCGCCGCTCACACGGGCGTGATGATAAGGACGCGCTCGTTTCACCCCGGCCCGAAATCCCGGGTGGGTTTTTGCGAGGGGTCCTCACCCACCCGCACCATCCCCGGCACCCACCGCCGGGCACCCACGGGCGGGCCTGGGCGTGGATCCCGCTCCCCCCCCCCCATTCTCCCAAACCAGAGGCCGTTCTGTCTGTATTTTAGCAATAATCCAAACAGGGTTCCTGAAGGGACAGATTTCTGCTCAGACATATTTAAACGGCTGGATTTGGAAACGCACTAAATGGCGTGTTATCTAACCTCTGCTGGCCAACGAGACACTGAATAGCTCCATTCCTTGGATGACAAATACCTGCGCTGTTGTTTGTTAGCTTGCTGAGCAATTTCACTGCGGTCGTTTCTTTCTGTTGCTGTTTTGTTTAATTTTATTTATTTATTTCAACCATACGTTTTCGCGGCTTTAACATTCAGCATGCAAAAGCATCCAGGGATGCTCCCGTTTCTGCAGGGGGGATCTAAACGCCTCCTGCATTTTGAAGCTCTTCGTCATTGCTAAGTTCACACGTATAAACACACGTTATAAACACGTAGATGGTACTGCTAACTCTTTGTTTTCTCGCAGGAGAAATTGTCACGCCTTGTTGGAAAGTTTACTCCCAGTTTCAGCCAGGTCGCGCCAGTCAGAGCTGTTATAAACCCTGAACTTTCAGGCCAGGCTGTGCTGATAAAAGGTGTTTCCTTCATGAACCGCGCTTGGGCGAAGCACAGAAGCTTTGAGGGGCCGGGACGCGGATCCAGGGCCCTGACGGGCACTGCCTGGGCCCGGCGCGCCTCGGGCGGCCGGTGATGCTGGAGCGGCCCCCCCCGCCCCGCCGCTCCCTTCTATGCCGCGGCCCCACTGTGGTCCCCAGCAGTAACCCGGCCCCGCAGAGAGAAGCTGAGGGGCTGAGCCCTCTTCAGCCGCTCCTCCCCCGGCGTGCGAGGTCCCCTGGCATCTCCTGGTACCTTTTCTCATCCCCTACTCCGCATCAAGGCACAGGCCGGTAAAAGCCTCTGGAGGCTGTAGAACCCCTTTCCCGGCCCTTCCCCTCCTTGCTTTCCCCTCCGGAGGTGTGGGGGCCGGACAATAAATAAATACACCAGCGCGGTCCCCGGGACAAATTAAAGCGCGTTCGTGAGAGTCGCCATCAAAAGGGGGAGAGGCAGCCCCTCGGCTGAGCCGCCTGTAAGGAATAAATAGAAACAATTCCAAGTCGAGGGTGCTCGGGGGTAGGGAGGGAGCCGCGCCGGGGCAGGGGTTGCCCAGTGCCGGTCCCCGTTCCGCCCAAGACGTGCACTCCGCAAACTTGTGATGAAATCACGGGCGGTATCGATTTTTGGTCCTTTTTTTATCATGCTTCAGGCATTGGAAGGTGTCCCTCTTGGGGATGGAGGAGGGCGGGAAGGAGCGGTGCAACGAAGGCTCTGTTGGCCATTGGGACATTTCATAGTTTAGAATATAAACAGCGTGCCCCAGGGTCTCCCAGAGAGCACAGGGACTCCGGGAGGCTTGAGCTAACGCAGTGGAATTGAGGGTTTAGCGATGCAAGAGTTGCAGGTACCACTTTGTAGGCCCTTCGCGGACCCATCGGGGCACCCGCGGGATGGTGAACCGTGCCCGGGCCGCTGGTCCCACTCGCCCCGGGAGAGCCGGCTCCCCGCCTCGGACAGCACATTTTTGAATTGCCACGTTCAAGTGTCTCCTATTTGCTGCTCCTCCAAACTGTTTAGAAATTACTAGTAGTGGATAAGTAAATTGCAAGTAAACCTAGTGAATTAGGATGATT